ACCTTAAAAGATTATCTACATCAGGTTCAAAGTAAATCTCCAGGCACTTGAACATGACCTTCACTCAAAGACCACTATAAAAATCCCAAGGTTTGACACGTTATCTTTATGCGACATGAGGGTCCTAATGACCCGAGCCTATAGAACCGCTTCAGGCTTGGTCCGAGGAACAGAAGCAAGCTCGGAAAGGATCCATTTCTATCAACTAAAGATTGAAAGGAATGCTCGTACCCAAATTAGATATTGGCAATTGTCAACAGATGTAAACATTCAGAATCCCCGCAAGTGCACAAGAGTATACACGAGTATGGCAAGTATCAAAGACAGAAGTCAAGAAAACATCTCTATATTTATAAACATTTATTTACAATGGCCCTCGAGGGGTCCTTACATATGATTACAAAAGCCCGCAAAGTGTCTATACACAAAAACAAAGAAGCAAAGGGGTGTACGCTTATAGTGAATGCCGAAGGACCTAGTCTACCCCCGAAGGTTCATCTCCGGTAGCAGCATCTCCTCCCGCTGCCTCCTCGAGCTCGCATCCTCAAAGGCAACTCCTTCGACTGCCATGTCCTCTAGGTTCCCAGCTTGATCCCTCGGAATAACATCGCCGAGAGAGAAGAGGGAGAAGATTAAGAAGAGAAAAAGAGGAGGATGCAAAAGAGGTAGAAAAAAGAGACATAACCCGCCGAAGCCAAAGGTTAAAGATTTAGTGGGCCCCAGCCTCAACGACCGGTTGTGCCATTTTATCCCTTGGGAGAAAAACCCCAACGAATGAAGTGCCACACCAGGCCAGGGTAGGAGAGTGAGCAGTAGTATATAGTCAAAATACTCTCCCGAGCAACGGTGTAGAGTCCAAACGCCCTCTTAGATTGGAGAACGCCAGTCGCCCCGTATCATCATCTCGAGCCAATAAGGACAGCAGTAGCAGTCGTAACAACAACAACAGCAATGACGAGACGACATGGTCTCGCTCAACAAAGGGAAGCTCAGGCATAAGGCCACCACGCGGCTGATGGGAATGCTGCCAAACAACCTTAAGGCCGTGAACTCCAAACATGGTGATCAACAATAGAGAAAGATGGCGAGAAGAAGGGGATGAATAAATAGAAGAAGGCACTTAGGTAGACAGATAACGCCATAATACCCCCATTTATAGGGGACAATGACACTGCCATCAATGCCTTTGGAAGACTGACCGACAGGAACAATTAATGCGTTCTTGAAGAACCGAATCGACGTCGGTACTGTCACTTTGGAGAACGGGAATCGACAACGCATTGAATGGCGTCGAAAATACAAGTCCATGGGATGTCCCGGTTATCGTGAAAACTCACGCCATAGGATGCATCATCAACATGACGTCATCACGGGAAACCCGAGAAGTTGGGTATCAGAATCATTTCTCATCGCTTTGTTCTAGGAAACGCGGAGACTATCTGTATGTGGCGAAATTAGAGGGTCCAATTTCTTGCAGTTAAGTTACTTCAGAAGAACATCTTGAGGCCTCGAGGACGCGAAGTTGTGACCGAGTTCCCTCCCTCGAAGCTCGTCGAGGTCCGACCCGAAGAGAATATTGATCGACGCTAGAGTAAAATAGGGGATTCCCTAGGCACACGGCTAAGTCTGACAAAGCCGGACCGCCCGGAGCCTGTATCAAGGTGTCACATCTAGTCGTCCCATATCCATACCTTTACAATTAATGCATTTTGTACTATGTTGGATTTTCGCTCCTATATAAAGGGGATCCTCATCACTTTGTAAGGGGCGGCTGTTGCTCCAACTATTCTACATGAAATATAACAACTCTCTCTCTCTTCTCTCTAACATATTTCCCCGACGATATTGCTTATTATTCTCATATTTGTTCTTCATTTATTGCTTGTTATTGGCCATATAAAGCCTCCATTGATTATATCCGAACTCTTAGCCCTTCCCCGATTACCCACGATAGCTCGAGCACGAGCCCAGGCATCGACCTCGAGGCCCCTCATCGGTCAGTCTGAGGCCCGAATAGTTGGCCCCTCGGTTTGATTATAACTCTGCTTTAGTTCGTATTTCGCCGTTAAGCTTCACACATCTAGCATCAACTGCTTTAACAACTAGCATAAAAATAGATCACGTATTTTTAGAGTCTCATTAACAAATTTAATTTTTATTACCATTTTCACGGTAAACTGACGCAATTATAATATAGTTCAAGTGACAAATTCATTACGTTTGTTGAGTTAAATTAAATAATACGTGTCATGGCTTGAATTATAATAATGAAGGTCCAACTCTCGATCTTTAAATAGATTAGAATATCAAACAAAACGAGACGTTTATCCCGTGTACAATTAATTAGCTTGACCTAAGGTTTCAATTCTCTGAAAATTTATTTTTAGCCAAATCAATATCCGTGTAGCATTCATTGATAACGTCCGTCGATCAACTTCCTCAACAACTAGACACGCGTCCTTGTTTATATTTCCCTATTGATCACTTCACTAATGTTAATGCGGCGCCTTTTATTAATTGGTCAACGTAAGCACTTGTTAGTCCTACATGAAAGTGATCAATTAAAAACTATTTCATATTTACAGGGCAAGTAGTGCCGTTTCATAATAATAAATGAAGGAATAACGGCCATTCTCGCAGATACTAAGACTTTTCTAATTACTCCCTACGCCCCAAAGTGATGGTGTTGAACTGAGCCAAGTTTTAAACTGAAAAAAAAAATAATACTTTTAAAATTTGTTGTATAAAACAAATCTTAGAAACTTTTATGGCTATAGATCATTATTAAGGATAAAATTCCTAATAATACGAAATTTAATAGTAAATCTATATATATAATTGAAGGGCATATAAGTGGTGATGTGACACTTTCCAATTTTTTGTTTTGAAGGAAAAGATAATTATTTCATTTAACCAAAACGTTAGGCATTACAATAGTAGTTATGATCCCGGGATAATTGATGGATGGTAATCCATGCATGGCACTCTCCAAAATTTTTTACCTTTTCCTATTATTTTGCTTTCTTTCCTCTTATTTCTAATTTTTTTGCTGTGGTGCTTAAAAAATCAAAAAATTATGTCCCTCCCATTAAAACTCTTTTAATTACACTGCCTTTTCGATTAAGAAATCAAAACCCGTGCCTATTCATTAATAATCCTCTTAAGTACACCTCCGTATGTTCCTCTTCTTTCATAGGATATAGATGATCAGTTTATCCTCTTTTCATGGTGTCATGCCGGGAATTTTTTTTAATAAAAACGGCAACCACATATGATAGCTCTCTCTACTTCACTTTCGTTTTCAAATAAAACTTACAGATTCCTTCCCCAATCATAATTCATCTTCCTCGACTAATCCTTTCAATCAAATATTTTCACTTTAACAGCAATAAAAAAAATTATCTATCCTTGAGAAATCATCTCCCTTCCAAATTTCGTGGAGTAGCATTTTCCATCCAAATGGAACAAACTCAGTTTGGTAAAAAAAGAATGACGAGATTGCATGGGTCCAAATTTGGATGACCACGACTATAGACGAATACGATAAACGACGAGATCTTCGTAGCTCGACGTTTTATGGAGGACGACAGATAGTGAACAGAGGTTGCATGATTTTTACAGTAGTGTAGGCCCAACAGGGGGCACTAGGAATATTCTTTCGAATATTCCCTATAATATGTCTTTTAGGGTTCGGAAGAGATTTGTCCCTTATATATAGCGGGAAAACAACCTTGTAAGGGGGGCTTTTTGACCTTTTTAGTGAAGAACACTGACTGTAATACTTTTCTAGATAAACGATTGGCAGTCTTAATGTTCGATCGCTCATTCTCGCAAGATCAAGAAATATTATCCATTCTGTTCATTTTTTATCCCTTTTGTTCTAGATTTTATTATACTTAGCTAAGATTACTCCTTCATTCCCGTTGATTGATTTATTCAGAAAGGTTCCAATATCTTTTGAGTCTAACAATTTGGCGCCGTCTGTGGAGATTTCTGTAGCTGAGATTTTAGTTTCGTCTAGATCCTTGAAAGGGATAATCGCCTTTTTTTAGCCTCGCAATGGCCAAAATTGGCAGGAAATGGGGAAGCAAGATTAAAGGCAATATAAGCTGTCACGAAAAATGAAGCCGGTAGGGAAGACAATGAAAATTCAACACCAAGCGCTACACCTGAGGGAGATATCTCACCCTCCCCCCCCAAGAAAGCATGACTGTCTCGCGCGAGAGGGAAACCTCAACATCCGTAGTAGAAGAAGCACCACCGGCTGTGAAAAGGCTATTAGAAGAGTGGTTGATAAACACCTTAAGCAACATACGGGACAAACCCGCTAAAAGGGATATCGGAGGCACAATACACGTAGAAAATCTCAACTGTCGCCGATGCGCCAGAAGCTCCACGCACAGATAACATTCATACTGTCATTGATGAAGGTAACGATGTACTTACTGCCATATTAAAAAAATGGAAGAAATAGAAAACGAGAACAAAATGCTCCGTGATCAAATGAAAGAGCATCAGGAAAAGGTCGATAAAATATCGGGCGCTCCGAAGTTGTTACCAAAACGTGACGTACGCCGATTCGTCAAGAAACCATACAATGAAGGGGAAGCTCCCCATTCTATTCCAAAAACCTTCAAAATGCCTCCATACTTGAAAATATATGATGGCACCGCGGACATGGAAGATCACATAATCCACTACGTTACGACAGTGAAAGGCAACAATCTGTCAAAAGAACATGTGTCATCGGTGCTACTAAAAATGTTTAGCAAAACCCTAATAGGGGGAGCGCTGATGTGGTATTCCCAACTACCGGCACACTCAATATCAACGTTTGAAGAAATGGCAGATAAATTCGTCAACGCTTATGCGGGAGCAAAAAAGGCAGAAGCCAGGGTAAATGACATCTTCGACGTTAGGCAGACGACATGCGAAGGACTTTGGGATTTCCTAACTCGATTCAATAGGGTAAGATGAGCCTACTGAATATATCAGAAGGGATGGCGGTAGCAGACTTCCAAAATAGATTAAATAGAAACGGGTCGAAAGCAACCAAAGAACTGCTAAATAGGCTCAAGAAGTACCCTCCCACCACGTCGGAAAAAATCCATAATGTCTATTGTGCCAAAGTAAGGGCAGAAGAGGACGACCTAAATGGTCTGATCCAATGGCTAACATCTGTCCAAACCAAAACAAGGAGAGATCGCCGCAACGATGGTCGAAGGGATCATTTATCCTGTTTCAATCGAGAAAGGCATCAGCCCTACATCCGGCCATCCATCCCACCTCCTCCACGACATGCGAACGTCATGCCTCGACACACCATGCCACTCCGAAACGAAAGAGGTATGCGTCCACTATTATCTGCTCATAACATTTGTGTTTCTCCTTCAAAAATAGTGTATACACTAGAAAAACTCGGCACAAAAGTGCAGTGGCCGCAAAAGATGAAGTCATATGCGAGCACCCGGAGATTGAACGTTCAGTGTGAATTCTACCAGGAAAGGGGACACAAGACCGAAGACTGTATAGGCCTGCGACAGGAAGTGTTAAGAATGCTAAACCAAGGACACCTGAAAGAACTGCTAAGCAATCAAGGACGGGTTAACTTCGCTCGTGGACGCGATCAACCTCAAGGACCCCCAAAACCACCCTCACCAGCTCGGACCATAAAAAATATCATTGGCGGTAGCGATGATAAAGTAATCAACCATGTGAAATTCACCACCACACACAAACTCAAGCGGACAGTCGCTCACAAATGGTATGACTACCTCGTAGATAGTATCATATTCGATAAGTCGGATGCCAACGGTTTGTCTTCCCCTTACTATGATGCTTTGGTTATAACTTTACATATCACGGATACCAATGTAAATAGAATAATGGTGAATGATGGAAATGGCGCGTGTATTACTTACCCACGAGTCCTCATACAGATGAGACTCGAGGATAAGATAGTACCACATTGCATAACACTAACAGGTTTTAATAGTGCAGTGCAACGAACCTCTGGAAAGATAGTGCTGCTCGTTCTAGTAGGGGAAGTCACCCTGGAAATGATGTTCCACGTCATTAACCATGAAACAACCTATAACGCTATCATAGGACATCCATAGATACACGTCATGCGAGCCGACCCATCAAGTTTCTATCAAGTAATCAAATTTCCTACTCCATGGGGGATATTCAGCATCCGGGGCGAGCAACGCACCGCCCAAGAATGCTAATGAATCGCCTAAGGCTGCACACACACCCAACAACTAAAGGGGGAAAGTGCGAAAGCATAGCAATCAGCCATATCGGGAACCGAACCCAACATACAAATAGAGGCCATCAAAGACCCAGATGTCATAGAAGCTTGCAAGGCAACCGTAGAAGACCTCAACCCCATTCAGTTGGACATCATCGATAGCACGAAAAAAGTTTATATCGGACACAACCTCTCACAACCAGGTAAGTTCCATGAGTTCTTAACTAACAATGCTTATTTGTTTGCCTTTTCCCACTCAGATATGCCGGGAATCCTAAGGGACACCGCCATACACATTTTGAATGTCGACCCTCTTTACCCGCCAGTGCGGCAAATGAGGAGAAAGTTCAATGCCGTAATCAACGATGTAGTCAGCGAAGAAGTTGATAAGTTGCTCACTAATGGCTCCGTCCGAGAATCAAAGTATCGTCAGTTGGTCGCCAATGTGGTCATGATAAAAAAGAAGAACGGGAAGTGGCGGATGTGTATCGACTTCACCAACCTGAACAAAGCATGCCCAAAGGGTTCCTTTTCGTTACCACATATCGACCAACTCATCGACGCAACGGCGGGGCACGAACTATTAAGCTTCTTAGACTCCTATTCTGGTTACAACCAAATTCTAATGGAAGAAGAAGACCAAGAAAGGACCACCTTCATCACTCACCAAGGAACATACTACTACAAAGTCATGTCGTTCGGATTCAAGAATGCAGGGGCGACGTATTAAAGGTTAGTCACAAAAAGTTTCAAAGAACAACTCGGAAAGACTATGGAGGTCTACATCGATGACATGATGGTGAAGTCGAAAAGGAAGGGGGGAACACATTGGTCATCTGAAGGAAGCCTTTGAAATATTGAGGCATACAGAATGAAACTGAATCCCGATAAATGCGCCTTTGGCGGAACCTCATGAAAGTTCCTTGGGTTTTTGGTGTCGCAAAGGGGTTTGAAGGTCAAATCGGATCAGATCAAGGCCATCGATTGAATACCGGAGATATTAACCAGCAAAAAGCAGGTACAAAAATTGACAGGGCCAATAGCCACCCTGTCGAGGTTCATCTCGCGATTATTGGATAGATGCCATAAGTTTTTAATGTACTAAGGAAGGATAACAGGCTATAATGGAAATTAGAATGCGTTGACGCCTTAAGGAAATAGAAAGCATACATGTTCTCACCACCATTACTCGTCAAGGCAAACCTGGGTGAATGCCTCCTGGTGTACCTAGCAGTCTCTGAAGTCGCGGTAAGTGCAGTTTTGGTCCGTGAAAACAAAGGTACGCAATCTCCAATTTATTTTATTAGCAAAACCTTAGTTGATGCCAAAACAAGGTACCCCACCTTGAGAAACTAGCTCTGGCATTAGTCGTAGCTTCACAAAAGCTCAAACCATATTTTAAATATTACCCCATAAAGGTGGTGACAACCTTCCCCCTCATGGGTATCCTACAGAAACCCGAACTATCGGTTAGGTTGACCAAATGGGCCATAGAATTAAATGAGCACGACATAACATATCAACCACGAACCACTATAAAGTCGCAAGTGCTCGCCGACTTCGTTGCCGATTTTAGCGCAGAAGTATTGCATGAAGTAGAGCAGGAGGTGCTCCGTGCTTTCACACATTCCGACCTCTGGGTCCTCTATACCGACGATGCATCTAATGCATCAGGATTGGGACTGGGACTCGTCCTCAAAGTCCCTATGGAGGAAGTAATTCGCCAGTCCATCCGGTGTCCCGAGATGACTAACAACGAGGCCGAGTATGAAGCTATGATTGCAGAATTAAAATTAGCCCTCAAATATGGTGCTCGATGACTCGTTCTCCATTGCGACTCTCAACTCGTGGTGACCAAGTCACTGGGACTTTCCAAATCAAACAACAGAGTCTAAAAAAGTACCAGTCAGAAATTCACAAACTACTACCAGAATTTGACTAATGCCGCCTCGACCAGACACCTAGGGTGCAGAATATCAAAGCGGGCGGTCTTGCCAAGCTAGCAGCAACCACCAGAAATATCAACAAGGAGAACGTGGTCATCCATCTCCATTCCTCAAGAGACCAGGTTGAGGTATATTCTATAGACCTAACTTAGGACTAGAGTAACCGTATCGTAACATAATTGGAGTTAGGGACGCTCCCGCAAGATAAAAAAGAAGCCAAAAAACAGCAAATATAGGCGGCCAGATACAACCTCGTAAACTATGATCTTTAAAAAAGGATGTTCGGCGGCCCCCTAGACAAATGTCTTGGGCCAAATCAAATAAGGTGAGTACTAGAAGAAGTACACAAGGGGCACGACAGCGCTCATATGGGAAACTGTGCCCTCGTCAGATGCCTCATCCGCACAGGATACTACTGGCCTACTATAAAAAAGAAGCCATAGATTACGTTAGGAAGTGTGAATAGTGCCAAAAATACGCCCCTATGATACACCAAGCAGGAGAACTCCTACATTCCATCACTTCGCCATGGCCATTCATAAAGTGGGGGATGGATATTGTCGGACCCCTCCCGGCAAAACGAGGTAAGGTCCGCTTCCTCTTGGTTTTAACTGACTATTTTCTAAATGGGTGGAAGCAGATGCATACACTCAAATACGTGAGCAAGAAGTTATCGCGTTCATATGGAAAATATAATATGCCACTTCGGCATTCCCAAAGAAATCAGCTGTGACAAGGGACCTCAGTTCGTCGGAAAGAAAATGACCGAGTTTTTTGAAAAAAGGCACATCAAGCGAATACTCTCCACACCATACATTCCCGCCGGCAATGGCCAAGCCGAATCCTCCAATAAAATGATATTGAATATATTGAAAAAGAAGCTCGAGGATGCCAAGGGGCTGTGGACTGAACGACTGCCAGAAGTACTATGGGCATACCGCACCACGCCAAAAACTAGCACTGGCGAGACACCATATTAACTAGTCTACTGGAATGACACGGTTATACCCGTCGAAGTCGGAGAACCTAGCCTGAGATACTGCAACAAAAGCGGACCATGTAATGGCGAAAGTAGGCTACAAGACCTGGATGAAGTCGAATAACGAAGAGATATGGCTCACGTAAGAATGGTAGCAAAAAATCAACAAGCAGAAAGGTACTATAACAAGAAGGCCAAAGTACGACCACTCAAGGTTGGAGACTACGTTCTCAAAGCTAAAACTCAAGAAGCAAAAGACCGTAATGAGGGAAAACTGGGAACAAACTGGGACGGGCCATACAAAATCATGGTGGCAGCAAACATTCCAGTTAGAGACAATGGAAGGAAAACTACTCCAAAACAATTGGAACATTTCCCATCTCAAATACTTCCACTTCTGAAAAGAGGCACCGCCTAAGTCGTACGCTTTTTCCCTCATCCGGGTTTTGTCCCAATTGGGTTTTCTTGGTGAGGTTTTTAATGAGGCAGCAAGGGAGACGTCTCGAGGTCTGAAGTATTGTTCCTTACCCCGTCCGTCGATGTGATCTCTAGGACGAGTAATGAAGGGACAAGGTATAGGTAGCCAAATCTCCATTGTATGTAGAAAGACAACATGTATTTCCTACAGGAATATATTCAAATCTTCAATGTACGAATGAAACTCCCAATGGCTAAAGCCAGCGAAAAGATACAAGTTCGACTTCACTCGAACCATGACGGGATACTACTTTGACGTCAGCTCAAAAGTAAAATCCCAATGGCTAAGGACAGCGACAAAAGCATGAGTTCGACTTCACTCGAACTACGACGGGATAATACTTCGATGCCAGCTCGAAAGTAACATCCTAATGGCTAAGGCCATCAACAAAAGCATGAGTTCGACTTCACTTGAACTACGACGGGATACTACTTCGACGCCAGCTCAAAAGTAACATCTGGCTAAGGACATTGACAAAAGTATAAGTTCGACTTCACTCGAACTACGACGAGAAACTACTCTGACGCCGACTCGAAAGTAACATCCCAATGGCTATGGCCATCGACAAAAGCATGAGTTCGACTTCACTCGAACTACGACGGGATACTACTTCGATGCCAGCTCTAAAGTAACATCCCAATGGCTAAGGCCATCAAAAAAAGTATAAGTTCGACTTCACTCAAACTATGACGGGATACTACTTCGACGCCAGCTCAAAAGTAACATCCCAATAGATAAGGCCATCGACAAAAGTATAAGTTCGACTTCGCCCGAACTATGATGGATACTACTTTGACGCCAGCTCGAAAGTAGCATCCCAATGGTTAAGGCCATCGACAAATATATAAATTCAACATCACTCGAAATATAACAATTATTACCACTGAATTGACAAAATAATTTTTTCATTACAACAAAAAATTGCTAACACCTATCTTTACAGTGGGCTCAAAGATGCCCTTACAAAATCCTGAAGCAAAAGTAAGTAAGAACCCAGATTACACATCATCCACGGTAGCATACACATCTTCGTACCAATGGTCAGAGGTAAGACGGTTCACATCATCAGAGGTGATATCATCCCCGTCAGGCGTAAGAGGATCATATCCGCATGACTCACGAGCTTCATGAGCTTTGGCACGCTTATCCTGAAGTTCTACTTCAGGAGCCCTCCCGTCGGCATGAAGAGCCTTATACACACCAAGTTGGGCCTCAGCATAAACCCACAACTCATATAAACGAGGAGGCACACTATGATCGGCCGAAGCACAAGACGTAGAAGGTTGAGAGTGTCGACACGCGTCCTCCGTTCTTAGTGATGCCACTTGTCCGATCAACGCGGACAGCTCCGCTTCCAACTCCTTAACGCGATCCTCAAGCCCCACTACCTTAAGATCAGATGCCTCCTTCTCCTTGGTTAGCTCTGACCTACAGACATAGAGGGTATCTTCCAAAACCGCCAC